TGGACCGTTCATCACGATTCATTCTCAGACGTCCGATCGCTTTTGAATCTGGCCGTTCGATTTCGTTCGGGAGGGAGTGCATCCAGGCCGTCCGTGTGCGCAGGAATGGACCTCAGCCGTTTGATCGCGCGCACGCGGATCACCCATGTGACCCTCCGGCGTGGCCTCCTGCGTCAGTGTCTCTGCCACTTGACGCGTCCTAATTGGTCAGAGCTGCTGACTCAACGTCTGACGTGACGAAACTTTCTAAAATTGCGTTTTGGCTCATATTTTTTTACTTTTCTTTCAAAAATACCCTCGGAACCCGAATTTTTACCCATTTTTTCCTAAATCATTTTTAATTAAATCCTCCTTACATTTTATTCTATTTTTTGCTCTAAATTAAATAAAACAAAATACAATAAGACAAAATAAAATAGTAAAATAATAAAAATTTATATTTATTAATTTTTAATCCCCAAAAAAGAAATTGTGGGTGTTACATCAGTTGTGTAATCTATTAAATTTTAGTCAATAATGGTATCATAGCCATAAGTTTCATATTCGTACAAGAAAAATAGTAGCTTCATTTTGCTGAAATTATTATTATCATAACATCTTATTATTTTGTATAACCTACAATTCCTCGTTTTGATGGTCGCTATAATTATTGGAACATGTTGATAGTAAATTTTCTCATATATAAAGAGTATTGACAAGCCAACAACTGTGTCTAATATGTAGAGAGCATAAATTGAGGGATTGAAGTTGAAGGACTTCAAAGCAAAAATTACTTATTTCAAGCTATTAATTGTTTATCTTAGAGACCATCTTATTCAAAAATACCTTCAAATAAATTTAAATTTTAATAAAATAAAATAAAATATCTTCAGCAAATAATTAAGTTACTATTAACACGTAGTTATGTAGGTGTGTATAGGTATATATAATTATCACGGCTCAGTGCCTGTGTTCCGAAAGATGTAATATCTATGCATAAAGATATATATAATCTATTTATACATATACATATGCTAATATTAATGTATATATAAAACTTGATTTTTAATAAGTACACATTTCTTAAGTTTTCACTTAAAATAATAAAGTATTTATATATAAATATATTTCACGCATGTAAAAATTAAATAAATAAAAATAATTAAATTAACACGCTCACGAGAAAATTAATAGAATTAAAAAAATAAAGTTTCGGTGCATATATTAAATCCATATATATATATATATATAATAGACAGATAGAAAAAATATTGTTTCAATAAAAAAATGATATAATATTTATATAATTATTTAATAAATATTCATAGTTATTATTTGCGGTAACATCCAACTAATTGTATAGGTTAATAAATTAATATTAGACGGTATTATCATTAAGACCCAATAATATTATATTAATCTCTCAAATAATTGTTGTTATCATCATCGACACTAATGGTAGGTAGTAATTCATATTGAAATATGATCACATTATCATTATGTACAGTATAAGTACCGTACGTACAAGAAATTTATTGACCCTCGTGTATATATGTATGTATGTATGTAATGTGTGTGTGTGTGTATATATATATATATAAACATATAAGCTGGCCTATGATGACACCAAAAGTCGAGATAAAAGTCGAAGCATGTGTCCAGCCAGGAATCTTCCAACTTGTTGCGTTACCATCAACCAATTACTATTGCCGCACCAAATCATGCACGATGACATGGTGTTGCCACTGCCACAACTTGCCTACTTTCTCAAGCTGCTACATATATATATATATATATATACAATATATATAGTCCATCATATATATATATATATATACATATTAATTAAGATCTTTTTTTTTAAAAAAAAAAGGTTCTTTCCTTCAAAAAGAGAGATTTTTTTTATATATAAGAGTTTTGAAGTATCAAATCAATGTCTGCAGCCGCATCTTGGTTACTTCTGCTGCTGAAGTGTAGCTTGACTACATCATCCATGTGTGTCGCACGCACTTGACTCATCACTCCACACTCTCCTGCGGGGATTGTCTTCTCCCTTCACTTCTCTCCCCCTCTATATATAACACTCCCAATCTCTTCCTTTCCATTCACACAACCA